GATAGGCAGAAGTAAGACTCAAAAGAATATGTGTAAAATGCTTCCATTTATATATAGTTTGGAAACAGATTAAACTGTATCATTTGGGAAGTGTACATAGATGATAAAAATATAAAGAAATGCAGGGGAGAGATTCTCATATAAGATAGTATTTTCTCCTCAGGAAGAGCACATTAGGAAGCTTCTGGGATGCTGGCAATGCCTTTTTGACTTGGATAATAAACATTTGTTCTGTGAATTTTTTCGAATGTGCATTATATTTTACAATAAAAAGGTGAAAATGAATAGGGGCAGGTCTAGCAGATTTTGTCTAATGAATGTTAATTTGAAGCCTGGAAGACAGGCTGTCACCTTGCTCACTTTTCCCAGCACAGTGGGCACTTGATCATTCTTGGCTCCTAAATTCAAACAAACTGTGGACTGATAAGAGAGGAAGATCACTTGTCTTCCATTTATTTGTAAGAAATAGAGTACTTTGATAGAAACTTCTCAATGTTTTCAAAGCAAAATTTAGAATTACCCTGCTTTAATGACAAACAGCTAAGAATTAGGTGTCTTCTATTCTTTATGTGTCTAAGAAGTTTGCACGTTTTTTTCAGTTAAGCCTGTCGTGTCAAGGTACAGTGATAGTCAATTTCTATTGATTTCCACAGGAAAACAATGAAGAATCGCTATATGGAGCTCTATGATCTTAATAAAGACTTGCTAAATGGATATAAGATTCGCTGTAACAATCACACAGAGCTGCTGGGAAACCTCAAAGCAGTAAATCAAGCAATTCAAAGAGCAGGCCATCTGCGTGGTAAGTCTCTGTATAGCGCTATTATTAGTAATTTGGGGGTGAGAATCACTGAAGATGGCGGTAGCTTTGAGAATTCATATTGGGGCCTGTATCTATAGAGACTTTTAACACTCAAGTTGGCACCAGTCACTTGAGTTTCAGTCAGCCTGTTCAGCTTGGTTAGTACCCAGATTTCAAGAAAGCTAGTAGCTCCTTTTCTTAGACCTTGCGGCATCCTTGAAAGAAAAACCTAATGGCACATACCCAAGAGGAAAGCCTTAAGTACCCTTATTAAAAAAAACAAAGGGAGACTGAAAATTAATGAGTTAAGTGTTCAATTTAAAAGTTAGAAAAAGAACAGTAAAGTAACGCAAAGGAAGCAGAAATAACCAGAGATTTATACCTAAAATCTGCTGTTTGGGGTCAGTGCTTTTGACTTCCTTCTAATCTTTGGTAGGTGGATATGAGCTTTGATCCTTTTCTATAAAACTGACTTGATTTCTAGGTTTGAAATGGTCTCTAGATTTGGTTTGTGATAAACTTCCTCACACAGGTTATATCTTCTTAAGGGAGTGATAAGATAATTTAGTTGAATTTGCACTACCATTAACTCTCTTCTACCCTAATTTCACACTGTTTTAAAGCTGGCCTCTGATTTATAATTTCACTTTTAATATCTTTCAGATTGTACTGATTTGCTATTTCTTTTCATATAGTTGGAAAACCAAAGAACCAGGTGATCACTGCTTGTCGGGATGCGATTCGAAGCAACAATATCAACACTCTGTTCAGAATCATGCGGGTGGGGACAACTTCTTCATAGGAGAGAGAATAGGTAGTGAAGTTCCTAGAAAGTGTTCTTTCCTAAAAATCTAGGTTGGTTTGCTTTGGATCGCATCCTGTTGAACTGAGGGTGCTGAGAATGAAAACAACCTTGGTGAATTGTACAAATGAAAGACAAAGCATTGCATCTGAAAAGTGTATTCACTTTCTGTTTTTAAGATCCAGTAGTTCCGTTGCCAAATAATAGTAGGTTTGTATGGAGGGAGGTGAATACTTTTGAAACATTAGGGCTCCGAAGTCCAATTATTTCTGCATATATGTAAAGCTGATGTATAGATACATCTATTTTCTTGTAATTGAACTTGTAATTTTAAAATAGATTATCTACCTTTACATTAAAATTTGTGTTGCCTGATTTTAAAATCACCACATCAGAATTGCATAAACCATTTCTATTACTTGCAGAGAAAAAAATATGGACATTTGTGTACCTTCATTTTAATCATTGAAAGGTGGGTGTAAACAGATTTGTATTAAAAGTTTATGTGATCTATTGGTTGGAGTAATGTTAACTGCTAAAATAGACCTCAGAATTCCCAAGGACCCATTTACTTCTCAGTATGTCAGATTTCTCTATAGCTGCTTAGGGACATCTAGGGCAGCCTTTCTTAGCCTGAGTTCTCTAGAGCAGCGGTCGCCAACCTTTTGGACCTCACAGACCACCGGCTGGCAACTGCTGCTCTAGAGAAACCTGCCTCAGGAATGATTGGGGTGACCACTTCTACTGCAGGCAGTGAGGACCTTATGGCCTTGGGGCTTCCCTCTCACTTGAAACTCTACGGGACCAGGGCTGTCCTAAGGCCTTGCAGTTATTTCTGTCCAAGCCAGCAGAAGAGGAAAAGCTTTTCAAGGCTGTGGTCTGGAAGTGGCCCACTCCTTTCCACTCGTACTCCACAGCCAGTGTGGCCACGCCTGACTGCCAGGCCAGGAAATGTTACCTAGCTGCGTGCTTACCAGGAAGAGAAAGCTGAAGTGGGGCCAATACCTAGCAACTCCTCTTCTTCTTTTTTTAAAATATATTTTTATAATTTCAGAGAGAAAGGGAAAAGAAGAGATGGAAACATCAATGACGACAGGGAATCATTGATCGGTTGCCTCCTGCACACTCTCTACTGGGGACCGAGCCTGAAATCCGGGCATGTGCCCTTGACCGGAATCGAACTTGGGACCATTTCAGAGAGGAAGGGAAAAGAAGAGATGGAAACATCGATGATGAGAGGGAATCATTGATCGGTTGCCTCCTGCACGCTCCCTACTGGGGACCGAGCCTGAAATCTGGGCATGTGCCCTTGATCGGAATCGAACCTGGGACCTTTGAGTCCGCAGGCCAATGCTCTATCCACTGAGCCAAACTGGCCAGGGCAGCAACTCCTTTTCTAGGAGTTAAAATTTTGCCTTAAGGTTGGTTTCAGGACTGGTTTAGTCCGTTTTCATATCTTAGTAACACTCATTCCTAAGTAGTTGAGGGAGAGGGGCCTTTCCTCTGTGGTAAATGAACTTTACTTGTTTCCTCCAGTTGACCTTTAGGGTTATGCCTTCCATTTCTGATAGGTGAGCTTATGGAGTCCTAATTTTAATGAGATTATGCCTTGTAATACCTTTGTTTTACATTTTTAACTGTAAGTGCAAAAGACAGCCTTAATATACTGTGTTATTTTTTGTAATCCCTGAAGTAGTAAAGAATCTTCTGCTTCAAAGGTGCAGAAATTGAAATGCAGGGATTAATTACTTGCCAGTCATAGAGCTCTTGGCAAAACTCCAGTCCTACTGTTGAGCCCTTTTCAGTTTCAACCATAGTCTATACCTACTGAAGTGAAAATCTCTACTTGGCGCTGGTTTTAAATTGTATGGCACTTTTCTTCTGTAGGGACCCTGACAGCACACTCTCATCTCACCGTTCTCTTGTTCTTTAGTCAAAATACTTCCTTCTTAGACCTTAAAGTATTCACGGGCAAGGCTTGATGGCGCCAACCAGAAGCAAGATATTGTGTTTTTGCACATCACTCCGATCCCCTTGATACTACTATCTCTGAGCTCAGAGAGGCAGACTATTGCCTACAGGGTCCCACAGCTTAGCTTGGTGAGTCAGGTGGAGGTTTGAAACCAGGTAGTCCTGGCCTTTCTGCTATTCTGAACTGTTCCCAAGCAAGTAGGACTGGATGAGATGAAAGTGTTCATAGAACATTCAGTTACCTTCCTTTCTTAGAAGTCACCATATTCAACTCAGGGATGAGAAAAACTGGTTATCAGTTACTTCCCTAGGTTTCTATCCTGATGGAATCTGGCGCCTTCTAGAAGCTACACTTTAAGCTCTATTTTGTTGCTGAATTTTGTTGAAGCTTTAAGTGAACACTCGGCCTTTATGTAAAAGCTGATCTTGAGGATTTTGCTATCTGGGAGAAAGCTTTTCAGTCATTTTTTGAGCATCCCTTTGAAAAAGTCACCACCACCAGGTACTCAATATTTTAGAATGGTTTGTATTATTTCCCACCATGTCTGCCTATCCACACACATGAAGGCTCAGCTGAAATGCTCTCTTCTCAGGAGACCGTTCCTCTCCCATGTCTATTCCTTAACCCTCATTACATCCTGTTTATATAAATCTTAAGTCCCTCTTAAGTGAGAGCAGGGGCTGCGTCTTAATCAGCTTTATCTCCCCACAGTGCTGAGCGAATGCCTTCAGCACATACAGCATCTGCTACTCTCCCTGAGACTGTCTTGTCCTCAGCCAGCCGTCAGTAGTTTTAGAAATCAAAGAACTAGGAACTTTATAACTATTATGCAACCCTGGACATGCTTTACAAGAATGATTTTTTTTAACATTATTGAAGTTCTAACTTTTATAATTAGCAGTTACAAATCTGCCACAGCAGACTCCTGTGATCACAGAGCTAAATTATCTCCCATTTCACTCTGAAACTAAAGTACAAGATGACACCCATGCAGCCTGGTGTTTTGCATTTTTCCCTCGTTCCCATCTGGCCCCTGCCCACACTATGTGCTCAGGCTCCTCAGTTATCTTTTTATTTGTATGGTACAGAAATCTGCTTTTCCTAAAATGATACCACATGACAGTTCCTACGTAATTTTCAAAACTGTCTATGTGGACTGACTTCATGTCAATCAGAGAAGGAATCAATTTTTGTGGGAATGTTCAGTGCATGAAGCCTGGAGCGCCTGCCTCTGGTGTCTGTCTGTCAAAGACTCTCCCAACAGGATTTGTACGTTCTCACTCATTAGTAGTGGTAAGTATATAAAATGGCATTGAAGAGATCCTGCAGCCAAAACTTCTTGCTAAAAAATTACTGCTCTGGGAGAGAGAACCCAAGAGTTGGTATTTTTTGGTATTCTGTGGGGAAGAAACTACCACATGTGGTGAAATTTGGTTAAAATGGTAAATTTTATGTCACATATTTTACCACAAAAAAACCCCACATTTAAAAACTCCCCAAGCTCAAGGTCTAGACTGAGGACAATCACTGTGAGTCCTATTGAAGGCCAACCACGTGGTTTTAAGAAGTGTCAAGACAGGTTACCTTGTAGCTCTCCTTTGCTGGATGCCAGCTCTTGCAGCCTTTCCAGTGCCGATGAAGGGTCTCTCTTCTCAGCTTCGCCCAGCCCTGTCATTCATAGTAGACGAATGAGAAGTCCCAGAAACCTGTTCTGTTTGGGAAGGTTTTCTTTTGTTCTAGGCTTCGGTGGTTAATATGCTTGACAAATTTAAGAGTCTCTCTATCTCTGTAGACCAATGCCAAAGAATTGTTTTCTGGATTCACTGTTAGCAGCTGAAACAAGCAAATACAATGACACATCAGAACACAGAGCTTATTCTAAACTCTTAAGCGATTCATCACTGAACAGATGAATATCAAGTACTTAAGTCTGGCATAGGGGACAGTAAAGAGCTTTAACTAGGAAGAGCTATTGCTCTGGCTGTCAAGTCATTTTCCAACAAACCCCGTTCCAATACCCAGAAAAATTTCAACTAATGCATTCATTTATTACATTGAAAAACTGATGGGAATGTACCATGTGGCTCTTAATTCATTTGGAATTTCTTAGGGTAGAATAAATAAATGCTTAGTGATTATCTTTTAGCACAGTGGTTCTCAACCTTCCTAATGCCGCGATCCTTTAATACAGTTCCTCATGTTGTGGTGACCCCCAATTTCATTGTTACAAATTGAACATAATTAAAGCATAGTGATTAATCACAAAAACAATATGTAATTCTATATGTGTTTTCCGATGGTCTTAGGCGACCCACAGGTTGAGAACCGCTGCTTTAGCATCTTTGTTCCATGCCACGTACTTTCTACTAGAAATTACTAGATCACTGCCAGGCAGACCAACATGGATTTATCGGTTAAAGACATTGGTAGTTCATAAAAATTGGGCTTTTGAAGAAGGAAAGCATCAAGAACTAAAAAGATAGTTTGCTATCAGGAGCAGCTTACCTCTTCATCTTCCCCTTTGGCAATATAGGAAGTAAAGCCACCATATTCAGGCTCCCAGCCTTACAAGGGGAAACAAACAGCGGTCAGAAAGCTCTCACTGCAAGTGTCACCTGTGCTGCTTAGACCACTGATCCCATGCTGTGTGAACGGGGGATTGGGAGTCTAGTAGTAACCAACCCTATGACTTAGGAGCCTGAATTTACCATTCAATCAACACTAAAGAACTGAACACTAAGAACTAAGTGTAAAATTAAAGGACAATTACATAAAAGCTGTAGATTGGGGAGGGGGGCATTCTTGGAGGGCAAGTATGTATGGTTCAGTCCATCTCCCACACCCTGGTCACAGGTACAAATCCTACTTTGAGTTGGGAAGCTGAAATTCACGACCCCTAACGCTCCTCCCAACACTGAGCTCCTGTGATCTAAGATCCTGGACAAAGCACATAGTTCTGAACTGGTTCAGTTGGAGAGGGGCATGCAGGAGAGATTGCCCCCTAAAGGAAACAGTCACTGCTTCCCATCCTCCCTCCTACCTTCACAGCCACAGTAAAGAAGTAAGTCCAGGGCAAATTCAGTCTTGCTGTTGTCATGGATTAAAGTGTAGTGACCAGTCTGCCAACGCCTCAGTTCCCCCTGGCACGTGGGAACACTTGATTCTAAGAAAAAAATAAAAGGTCAGAAAATCCTATATAATAAAAGCCTAATATGCAAATCTGAACAGCAGAACGACCGGTTGCTATGATGCGCACTGACCACCAGGGGGCAGACGCTCAATGTAGGAGCTGCCCCCAGCTTGCAGGCCCCAGGCCGGCCAAGGTGGGTGCCAGCAGGGGCCCCCCCGATCACCCCACCAGTTGCCCCACAGATGGGCCCTGATCTCCAGCCAGGCCTAGGGACCCTACCTGTGCATGAATTTCGTGTACTGGGCCTCTAGTATGAAAATAACCTTGATACCACTGCTAGATTGCAAGGGAATGACAATAATTTGTTTTTCTAAACATTCTGAAATTGACATTATTTTTTATATATATATTTTAAAAAACAAAATTAAAATTGTCAGGTTTGGGTATCTTACTGAATTAACACTGCTTAAGTTGCCTCAGCAACTTCATAGCTTTTATTAAAAAAAGCTTTTTAGTTTTCCTTTAAGATGCTAAACTTGGTAAACAATGACTTTTCTCATTTACTTCTGTATTCCCCCCTGGCTCTGGCCAGGGCCTTGTACACAGCAGATGCACAATAACAGAATAAGCACCTTTTGGTTGCTAGTGTAAATTTTCTTCCAAGTTGCAGGTTCCCATAAAAGCGAAATAAAAAAGGAAAAAAAGTGGAGAAATACTTTAGTTTCTCTAAATATCTGTGGGGACCAAAGTGACAGTACGGCAGACTAAAGACCTCGAGTTATGTTGTGTGTGGTTAGCACCTCACACTGCTGGTCTCATTTCCACGGTATCCACCTCCCTCATCTTTGCTCTTCTGACTGCACAGGGCCCTTCTCAAGAAATCAGAGTGGAAGCAGAGCAGGTAAACTGACCAGAGGAGCTGGGGAACAGACTTTCTGATTTGATTTCATAAGTGCCATACATTTAAGCTGAATTTGTAGCTGCTCAGTTAATGCGGCCAAAATTCCCACAGAAGTGTTACCTCTTAAGTGTCTTGTATTTTTCTATCCTTACTTTTAATAATTCCTCCTCTCTATTAATCCAAGTTCCAACAAGTTTTTCGTAGTTTGTTATTGGTCATTAGCAGAAATAAGCTGCTCACCTTCCTCTCCTTTATGTTCTTGTGTTGGAGAGTAATTTTAGGCAAAGCCAGTCATATCTCTCCCCACCATTTGTACTAATAAGATATACCAGCTGTTCCTCCCATCTGGAATGCTCTTCCTGCAGATTCTTCCTACCACTGAGATCTGAGCTTAGCTGATAGCTCCCCAGACAGGCTTTCCCAGGTTGCCCATTCACCTAAGAGGCCACTCTGCCATTCCACAGCACATAACCTTATTGAAATGATCTGTATAACGTGTCATTATTTGACGTTTTAGTTGTTGGTGTATACAATTAATCTATCCTCATCTCTTATTTTTTTAAAATAAACTTTTATTGATTTCAGAGAGGAAGGGAGAGATTGAAACATCAATGATGAGAGAGAACATCTATCGGCTGCCTCCAGCATGCCCCCCCCACTGGGGATTGAGCCAACAACCCGGGCATGTGCCCTGACCAGGAATCGAATCGCATGACCTCCTGGTTCACAGGTTGATACTCAACCACTGAGCCATGCTGGCTGTGCTGTCCTCTCCTTTTAGAATGTAAGCTTCAAGACAGCAAGGACCTTGTCTGTGTTTTTTTCTCCAATTCCCAAAACAGGACCTAACAAACAGTAGATACTCAAGAAATGTTTGTTGAATGAATGACTGAATGGTGAGTGCTGACTGGAAAACCAGGACAAGTCATGACAACAGCTTACCTTCCTTGGCTTCGTTTTCCTTGGGCTCTGGGTCTGCCTGTTCATTGCTCTGCTGGCTGTTGTTGCTGGCAGCTGCCAGATTATTCTCTGGCTCTGAGGAGCTATAGCTCGTCCCTTCTTCAGTGCTCTCAGGAGCAGTGGCTGCTTCTCCCTCTTTTGTGCCCTCTGTCTCCTCTTCTTCGGAAGGGGCCAAGAAATGAAGTTTCAGGCCGGTGAAGTTGGACAGCAGCAAGAACAATGCCTCGGAGCGAAATAATGTCATGCAGTCCTGGAGAATGTCGGGAAGCGTGCTCTCCTCGGCTTTCTCATAAAACCTGGAAAGCAGCAATGACAGTTTTCAGCAAAGCCACAGATGTAAAATTACTCATGGAATAAAAGCTGATTGTTAGCTTTGTGCCTCTCCCCCTCATTCTTGGCATAGTTTACTAAAGCACACATGACAACAGTGAGCTTTTGCTCGGGCCTGCTACTGGATGTCCCTGGGAACCAGATATCGTTCGGGAAGTGAGCCTTACAAACAGGAAGGTGCCACATACAGAAGCAAATGTCTTGGATGATGGGTTCTACCTTTTGTTAGGGGGCCCTCGGCTGTTCCATTTCACACCTCCTTTCTCCAAAGCCTCACAGACCGCTGCAAATTTCTCGGGCTGGAAAATGAGCAAATAAAGCAGCAGTCAGCAAATCTCCCCATGACCCCACCCTGGTCTTGCTGGTGTCGAAGCTCTGCAGAATCATCTGGCTGATTCTTAAAAGGGTCAGCTGACTCTCACCCCTTTCACACAACATTCCCGTCCTGATATGGTGAAGCCAGAGGAAAGATGGGATAAATCGTCAGCATGCTTTAGCCAAGAGACCCAAATGTCCATTTGGACCATTTCCCTAAATAATTGTTTATCTTATATCAGATTGCTCAAGCTCTCAAACCCCTTCATTTATAAAATGAGGATCATAATACAGACTCTGTAATTCATAAGATGTGAGGGGGAAAAATTAAAGCAAAACAGTCAATGTCATTACAATGAAAATCTGTAAGCAATGTGGATTCTCTAGGCCTCAGCTCATTCCTTTCATTTAATCAACATTCTAAACTTAAAACGTTAAGTTCAGTACAGGAAGTAGGTTAACCTACTGAAATATTTTCCATAGGAGCTATGTACCTGCTTAATGCAGTTTTCCAAGGAGTGTTCTGAAAATAGTAGGCCTATCAGCAAAGTAGGCAAAGGATTCCAAAGCATGGTTTAGTTAAGCTGAATTACATAGGGTTTAAAGAAGTTTATTTTCTACAATACTTCTAAAATTCCTTAATACGCTAATGTCAGCTATAAAATTCAGAGAGAGAGAAAGAGAGAGAGAATATGTACTGTCTCAACCTTTTTCTCATGGAGGAACGGCTCTTGGGACTGTGATGCCATGGGACTCAGGGTCAACTGTGAAGCAACACAGCAGTGACATGATCTCAGCTCTTGGGACTGTGATGCCATGGGTCAACTGTGAAGCAACACAGCAGTGACATGATCTCGTCTGGCCCTCACAACCCTTCAAGATGGACAAGGCAGGTTTAGAGCTCAGGGACTGAGTGATCTGGTCAGGCTAGTAAATCACAGAGCCAGGACATGAATATAAGGTCTCTGACTTCTGCTCTAGCTCTCTTCCCACTATAAAGTGCTGCTTCATCACTGTCAAACATTCATCAATAGGTGCTGATCAATTAGCAATCTGTCTCACTAAAAGTCCTAGTATGCACCATATTAATCAAGTGAATAGGAAGGGAATGACTCATAACTCCAGTGTAGAAGCTTCTCTACCTCTCCCTCTCTCCCCCTCTCTGTGTATCATTAAGATTCTAGAGAAATGGGGAATACCCAAGGGACTCTTAACCCACTAAGCACACAACTGATACCAGCGTTAGCTATTAACATCATTTCTATGTTTTATTTGAAGTAGAGGATGACATAAACATTCTAACCAGGCACAAAACAAAAACAAAAACTCTTGGTGATGACTATTCACCCACCCAAGAAGCAAGACTGCATGCCAAACAAGACCTACCGGACAGGACATGGGGACCTACCTTAAGGAACTCCTTTAGGAGAATTTCAGACTGTTGTTCAAACTCTTCTTGAATTTGAATTTGGTAATCCATGTCCAGATAAGTAGGGTTGATCCACTCATACAAAATTTCATGCTTACAAAGAAGCAGCAGATGCAAAAGGTGAGTTAATTCCTATTGCTTTTGTTCTCACATCATTTCACAGTAGTAAAATAATACATGCAAATACTCAATTTATAATTGTCTCCTTTTTAAATATCAAGTGCTGGGAAAGTGCCTGAGAAGGACACCAGCCAAGTTTATCTAAGGAAAGTGGACGGGCAAGCTCAAAGCCTGGTTTCATTATCAGGAAAAGCCACTTTCGAAACCAAAAACACCTAGTATGCTACAGCCGCTAAGATAAGAATCCGACAGCAGGCACTTATCCTTACATCTCGTGGGATATGAGGGCTCCGAGCTATGGGAGGTTCAAAGTAGGTGGGAGGCCTGGTCAGGGAAGGACCATGAAACCAGCCGCTTATAGACAGACGTGACTTTTCTTCAGACAGGACTTCAGACACCTGAAAGGACAAAACCAACGGCACATCAACCCAAAGAATGAGGAGGGAGGTTAGGCACAGGAACTTCCAGATCCTTCACGCTAGGAGTGAAAACAGTCTGGCCAGCTAGGTCTAATGGGAATGAGGGGCTATAAGGCATGAGCCTTAGTGCTCTATACAGCTGTGGCTTACAAGCTTTACCTGGTGAAAGGACACTGGAGACACTTCAAAGAAAACCAGTGTGTTCCACGAAGGGATAAGGGACTTGACAATCTGCTTCGGCTGGAAGTGTTCTGCACCAGGAGAGAACATACCCACAAACCAGTTAGCACTTACCACTTCCAGGCCACCCCGTTTCACCCTGACAACCCTCAGATTTCTAAGTGTTTCTAAATGTACCCTTGTGATCCCCAAATACCACCCTTCCCGCTATTTCACTCATACTTGCTATTTCTGCCAGGTGACACCTGTTCCTTCTTACACCACCATCTATTATTGGATGAGGGCTGAAAGCTTCCTGGAGGCAACCTCTGGGGTCAGTCATTACAATAAAAAACCCCAATGCCCAGCCAGCATGGCTCAGTGGTTGAGCATCGACCTATGAACCAGAAGGTCACAGTTCGATTCCTGGTCAGGGCACATGCCCAGGTTGTGGGCTCGATCCCTAGTGTGGGGCATGCAGGAGGCAGCCAATCAGTGATTCTCTCTCATCAGTGATGTTTCTATCTCTCTTTTCCTCTCTGAAATCAATAAAAATATATTTATTAAGCAAACAATAAAACCTGATTTCCTGTCAAATGGACTGGTCCAGGCAGATTCACAGGCAGCTGTACACGGTCTCTGCTATCCTCCACGGTCTGTATTCAGACGCCAGGCCTGACTGCTCCTCATCTAAATCAACTCTAACTTATCTCTGGAGTGATCGTTATCTCAAGGACAACTCAGGGAGGCCATTGTCAGGGCGGCATCCACTGTAATCAATGGCTTCCATCTCCTTGGAGTGCAGACATTGTGCATAAGGATTGGGAAGTAGCTATGGGTGTTGAAGAGCATGCGTGTGTCTTACCATCAACGTTGTACAGATCCAGGGTACCCCCCAAGCTCCTGTCCCAGGGAGGAACCAGGTAAAGAATGAAGGCGATCCGGCGCCCCTCCAGCTCATCATCGTGGCAGAGCAGGGCATCTGCAAGTTGAATGCACAGCTGCATGTCCCTGCGCAGACAAGGAGCAGCTGGGACCCGACCCTGCATTTGTCAAGCCTTCTGACATTCATCTGTAATGTCAGCTCCTCCAGCCTTAAAATGACACTGACTTCTCTTTTATAATTATAGAAATAAAACTGCCAATTCTAAAAACACTGAAGAGCATGTATGTGGTTAGACACGGAGAGAATCACTAACAATATTTTTACATATTTCTTCCAATATTATTTCTACATACGTGTTTGCTTTAGAAAAGAAATGGTATCCTCGGTGGTTGTTTTGTGGCCGGTTTTTTAAAAAATCACTACATGGCAAGTGTTTTCCATATACGTTTCATCTCTTAATGGCTGCATAGTTATTTTACTCTCTGGATTATGAATCACTCCCACCCCCTTTAATCAATCTTCTATGTTACGTTGTTCCCATTTCTTATCTATTAAGAATGTTTCAATGGAAATTATTGCACAAAGATCTTTTTGTACTTGTTCCCATTAATTTCTCTAGTTAAACTTCTAAAACCCATGAGGTGGGGTTGAGCAAGGTGGGAGCTGTGCAGGGTGGGAGAGGAAGGTATGCTACAGTGAATAAATATATTAAAGATAATGTAACCCAGGTTTCTCAGTCGAAGGGAATTACAAATATGAAAAAGGAGAACTCTAGAAGGAACCCTATGCAATGTATGATCCTGGACTGGATCCTTTTGCTGTAGAGCACCAAATAATGGAACTAACTGATTTTAATGGTTTATCACTACCATGTAGGAGAATGTCCTTGTAGGAATTACTGAAGTTATTCACGGAACATCACAACTGTAACCTACTTTCAAGTAAAACGGGAAAAAAAGGATTTGTACTATGTGTGCCACTTTTCTGTTAAGTTTGAAATTACTGCAAAATAAAAAGAAAAAATAAAGTTAAAAAATAATCATCTGATATGAGTCTTCATGTGTATCACTAAGTTATCCTTAAAAAGTTGTTGCTGCCCTAGCCAGTTTGGCTCACTGGATAGAGCGTCGGCCTGCAGACTGAAGGGTCCCAGGTTCGATTCCGGTCAAGGGCATGTACCTTGGTTGCGGGCACATCCCCAGTACGGGGTGTGCAGGAGGCAGCTGATCAATGCTTCTCACTCATTGATGTTTCTCTCTATCCCTCTCCCTTCCTCTCTGTAAAAAATCAATAATATATATATAAAAAAGCTGTTGCTAAGTTAAACTTCCCAGACAGGAGTTAAATCCAAAAAATACACACACAACACTTTTCCTTCTAGGCAAAATACCAAACATATTTTCAAAAAGACACGTAGATGCTCAGAATGGGAACTGGGAGGATGCACCCCAAACTGGTGACAATGGATAACTCTGAAGAGTTTGGGGGGCGGGGATCTGACAAAAAGCAGGTGAAGGGGACTATGAAGGTTTACACTGTATATTTCTATATTGTTTCAATTTTATTTCCTTAAAGAGTATAGTCACTTATTACCTTCAAACTTAAAAAGAAAAAATGACATTGAGGGAGGCATTTGTTCCTTAAGCAGTTTAAGAGGAGAGTTTACAACATCACCTCTGAGTTTCCCATATTGTTGGTATGTGGAAAGTGGGTGTGTTATCAGCATTTTTCTGAAAATATGGTCAATAGCTTTCATCATATTCCCAAAGAGAACCACTGCCTTATACCTTCCAATATGAAGGGCATTTCTGTATATGAGCCAGGTCAGATCTTCCTTATTAAGATCCTAATGATATACAGGGACACAGTCCAGGTTTTGATACACTGACACTATCTCTCTTTCTACCATTGTTTAGATAAGGCCTTTAAATCTTATGGACATCAGGGCTTTATCTTACCTGAGAATTCATATTTAGCACAGGACATGTCAATAGTTGATTCCAGGTCAATCTTGGAAATGTCGGAAAGCCAAGCCCGGAAATCTTCAAAGAGAATTTTCCTAGAAATGCAAACAAGATAACTTGTGATGTCACAGTGTGGCCTACATTTGGGTAAATGCCACAACTGTTTTTTCCTGGAGGTTGCTGTGTATTCAAGAGATCTATTCCCCAGAGTCTTCCTCACTTTAAACTTGCATAGTTTAGGGCTAATATTCCCAGAGCACATCCTTAATTATTTGCTGAGGATAAATTTGTATAAGTAGAATCACACTACAAAAAGAGAAAGCCTAATTTGAAGGGCTTTGGTACATCTTTCAAAACCACTTCTAAGAAAGACTGCAGCAGAGTATAAAGGTATCTATATTTCTGTCAACACGGGAGTTTTTGTTTTTAATATTTGCCAACCTGATATGTGAATGGTAACCGCAGTGTTAATTTGTTTCCTTGACTACTCACAAAGCTGAACATTTTATCACTGAGAATTTGGACCCTGGGTTCAGACAGACTCAGGCTTGTATCTTAGCTCCCTCGATTTTTACCCAGGTGGCCTTGAAGAAGTTACTTAATTTCCCACAGAGGAGGCTGTTTCCTCCTCTACAAAATAGGATAATACGTCCACAGAGATTTAAGACATAACATTTTAAAGCATTTACTAGCCAGCCTGGCACATAGTAGGCACCCAACAAATATGATCACTTGTTTACCTTAAAGCACAGATGTGAGGCTCTCTTCTCTTCTTCAAATCGTCAGACTTGATCATGAAAAGAGAAAAAAAAAAGGATTTCCTTCATACATGAGTCACAACATCAAGGCAAGGCCCCTCCAAGGCAAACCCAATCTAAAACCTCAAGTATAAAGGTACTGACTAATTTTTTGGTAAATAAGTTTCTGAAGTGGAAGAACTAATGGGAAAGGTCATAAATACCTGCTGGAACTTATATAAATCATTATACTTTTCATGGAAGTCCAAGCTCAAAAGCTCCTTCTGAAGCCCTTCCAAGAAGTTTTGACTTGGGATGAAGTTTGGGATCACGCAATGAAGAAAGGGGTCCATGTCCATGATAATGGCTTCTGTTGGGAAGAAAACATTACGGCTTATTTTTCTTTTGTATTTTTGACCCCTGAGTAGCATAGTACAGAGAATTCAAAAGGGGATGGTCAGGAATTTTCAGGAATCTAATACCTAAAGTCTCAGATTTGGGGGATGATAAACTGTTCCCTTTTTTTCTTTACCCACCCAACAGTACTTTTTAATGATACTGCGCTTAAAATATTAGGCCTTAAAATGAGTACAGGTGATATTACTAAGGTAAAGTTCCTGCTCTTGGGGGGCGGGAGGGTTCGTTTAATGTTTACTTGTTGAATTGAATATATTTTAAAGTCTTAATTTACTCCCCCCCCCCCATTTAAAATGAGAGTAGCAAATTAAAAAATGAGAATAGCAATACTGGCTGGCAATTTTCCTCAACCCTTTTTCTTTTCCTAAGTTACTGTCTAAGGTAGTTAGAACATACATACTTTGTGTTGTTTTTTTTTTAAAAAAACCCAGTTCAGGTATAACCCCTTCTAATTCACTTTCCCCACTGCCTCTGGTGGGTTAGATTATGTACCCACCTAACAATCACCACCAACCACCAAGCGCCAAGCACAGTGGTGCTTTGCATGCATTATCTCATTTAATTTTCCCTACCACACGCTAAGGCAGACACGATCACGGGCTCCATGCCACAGATGAGGACATTGAGAAATACTGCGTGTACAGACCTTGCACTTTAAACACTGAGCTATCATGTCTTTCTTTTCTTTTCTAATTATGCGGGCATCCTGGTATAGTTAACAACAGAGTTGGCAGGAACCAGGCCCAGGATGCCAGCCAGCTTCCGGCTGCTGTTCTCCCAGCAGTGTAACACTTACCTAGGTACGAGGCCACCTAGGCAGCTGCCTACAGCTGGGGCTATCCCTTTCCAGGTGCATTCAGAGCCCCCGGGGCTCACCGATTCAAAGCACTTCACCAAAAACAAAAGTCACGCAAACTTTAGAAGGGAAAGCATGATGCATCGAGCGGAGTTCTTATGCTATAAGGCAGTGGTTCTCAACCTTCCTAGTGCCGCGACCCTTTAATACAGCTCCTCACGTTGTGGTGACCCCTAACCATAAAATTATTTTCGTTGCTACTTCATAACTGTAATTTTGCTACTGTTATGAATCATAATGTAAATATCTGATATGCAGGATGTATTTTCATGGTGACAAATTGAACATAATTAAAGCATAGTGATTCATCACAAAAACAATATGTAATTATATATGTGTTTTCCAATGATCTTAGGCGACCCCTGTGAAAGGGTCGTTCCGCCCACAAAGGGGTCGCGACCCACAGGTTGAGAACCGCTGCTATAAGGCGCTATGTGATGCTCAGGTCTGAACCGTTCATGGTAGGTTCCTCCCTCGCACAACACACTTTACTTTCATAGGTCACGTGGTTTGATCTATCTATTATCTATCTTATCTATCATATCTATTCTATCTACCATCTACCTACCTACCTACCTACCTATCTACCTACCATCTAAAACCCTAATAAGCAAATCGACCGAACTGCAGGACTGGTCGCTATGATGCGCACTGGCCACCAGGGGGCAGACGCTCAAGGCAGGAGCTGCCCCCAGCCCGCAGGCCCCGACCAAGGCAGGAGCGAGCGGGGTATAAACAACCGAGTACGCTCCGGTGCCGGTTGCTAGTCGCTCAAATGCTCTGCCTGCACTGTCATGGGACCACCGAGCATTACCTTCAGAGGAAAACATCACCTAAGCCACCCAAATATGTGTCCAAATGTTTACTGGTCCTTCCCCAGGGAAACATTTATAGAGACAGACATGCGTTACCTTACTCGTCTTTCCGAGGTAAACACCATTTAGCTACCCCATTTTACACAGCAAGGAACTGAAATTTTAAAAAGTTGAACCCATTGACAACCAGTCGAGGGATTCCAGAATTCAAGTAGTCATCTTTGGTTCCAGAATCCAACTCAGAACGCTCACGCCCTCCACTTCCCCAAACTCTCCGACCTACCTGTCCGCCTCTTCTCGGGCTTCCAGATCCACACTGACCTCGCAATGAAAGCGGGGCAGCAGGCCAGGCAGGAGGGTCGGAGGCGCCGGAGTCACGCTCTCTCCAACGGCCTCTACCCTGGTGGCCCCGCTGCCCCGGGCTCGGCTCGAGCGCCAGGGCTTTCAGAGGCCCCAGACCTCGCGCGGTGGCTCCCCCCTCACAGCACCCGGTTACCGTGACTGAACGGCGTCCTGCAGCTCCAGGCCTCAGCCACCTGCTTCTTCAAGACTTCCTCCGTGACCGCGTCCGAAAACTCCACCATCACCTCCTTCTTTCTCTTTTTCCCCATCTGGTCCGGGTTAGGGTCAAGGGGCCGTTTCCCATTCATCTCCTCAGAAGCTGCAGACCCACGCCACACACACCAAGCGGCTCACGGAGACTACAATTCCCAAAATGCGCTCTTTCTCAGCGCCACCCAATAGAAAGCGCCGAAGCAAGAGGAGGCGGAACCCATACCTGATCTACCAATGGGAGCTCAAGATATTGCGACATCCCACCAGCCGCCGGTCCAGTGGTTGCTCGGCCTGGCTGGCTCCCGCCTCTCTACTTCCTGCCGCCCGAGGCTCTGGATGCACTTCCGGCGGGCGTCCGCCTCCTCTAGCGCTCTCACGTTAATGGCGGGCCGCGGCTGCTGAGTGGGACGCCGACAACCGCTGCCCGCACCGGGGAAATCTCCCTGCCTCTCCCCGCTTTCCGCTCGCCACCAGTCCTCGCCAGCATGTCCGTGGTGCCGCCCAATCGCTCGCAAACCGGCTGGCCGCGGGGGGTCAACCAGTTCGGCAACAAGTACATCCAGCAGACCAAGCCCCTCAC